CATTTGCCAGCAGCGTTGTTGCACTTACTTAATAATGAAAAGGGTTTGTAAAAAGCACAAGTGGAGTTGGATTGTTCCATCAGAGTGCAAACGTAACATACACATAGAAATCAAAATAAATCAAGACCATGTCATTTTTGTGGAGAACAAAATCATATTGCTTACGATGGCCTGTGCTCACTGAAAACCCATGATGGGTTTACCAAATACTTTTCTCTCACACTGGTTCTCAGTAATGATGAGATACCTTTTAACTTCTCAGCCAGAGTCAGCATCAATAATTTATTCTCATCTGTTTAAAATTTAAAGTGCCACACATTAACGTCCTCCAGCACCTGCTCTTTTATGCTGTCCACTCTCTGCTGGGCTGCTTTTCCACCCCCGTCTCACTGTCTCTCTCCTTTCACTATAATAAAGACAATGACAATGAGTTCTCTTTCGCCAATGAACCAAGAATGTTAAATCAAACAGGGGTGGACGAGGTGACAGACCATATAATGTAAGGGCATCGTCTGGACGCCTCCGATTGCGCGTTGGCCTTAATTGGTGGCAGCACAAAAAAGATTAATTCTGTAACAGTGTCGTTTGGTTTTGCCGTTCCAAGCCCAACCAAGGCCTAAAGGGGGACAGCTACTTTGTGCAAATGGAAGATGACAGAAAATCCACATGGCACGACCAAGCTAGGGGGAAAAAGCCATGACAATGAATAAGGGGTCCCATGCTCTACAGTAGCCGAGGGAAGCTTGCAGGGAAGCTGTGTATAATTAAGCGGTCTGCATCGTGGTTCAGATGGCAAAATCCTATTGTCTTGACAGAAGCTTAAGGTTGCCCTTTAGGTTGAGATGTGTAACAGCATACGGCCTCATTTTTCTTTTTTTAACACTCCCCCAGACCTCTGCAACCAAATTAATCTGCAGTTTTAAAGCTTGAATAAATCCAGTAAGTTGGAGATCTGCAGATCTAAAAGCTGTCTGTCCCTTAGGCTTTTCCTTCTCAGCTGTTTTTTATTTCTTTACCCCCTCTCCTTTGCTCACAGAGATTGGCTGGGAGCACTCAGTGTTATCTCCAGGGAGGCAAAGGTTGGGGGGGGGAGGGGGTGAAGGCCACAGATTTGTCCTTATCTATTCTGAGCACACCTAAAACAAATTAGACCTGGCTGCCTTTGCTTATTTGGCTCCAGTGCTCTCATTAAGGGGCCGAGCCCACACTATTTTCCTCAAGGTCCTGCTTCCTACCATTTTGGGTCTTGTCTTTTATCACAATAGCAAAGGTTTCTAGGCAGCCATGCCACCTTTTCATCTCACCCATTTCATGTAGTCATATCAACACTGCACAAAGAAAAGAGGCAGAGAAAGAATGTGTCCTTACTCTAGGACACTGTTTTCCTGCACATGACTTGATGATGGCCTTTGACATTGTTAACTGAAAGGAGGAATCTGTGAAAATGGATTTTGTTTTGCTTTTTTTCCTGCTTTTTCTGCACTGTGTTATGCTACAGTTCCAATCAAATACTGTAGGTGCCTCTCTGGTTGTTGAAATAGTGTTTAAATCCAATTGTCCCTGTCAATGTCATCAGCATCCAAGTGGATTGGCACTTGAAGTCTTGTGATTATGTGAATGTTTCTATCAACATGTATAGTGAAGGAGGGTGCTGTTAGGCATCTACACTATCTGTTGGCGTCAGACTCCTAATGACAAGTCTGCACTGTTGAGTGTTATTCACAAGCAAAATTATGAATTAAAAAACCTATGCATGAACAATGCATAACTCAGATCCACATGGTGTCTTCATTCTGCTGGTGTGGAAATCTTTCTGCTAGAAGGTTGCTCCTTAAGCCAATATTACTAGTTTTAATTCACTCAAATTCAGAACCCCTCTGTTCAAAATAAAACCAGGAAGAAAGAGATAAACTTGTATTATAAACTTTGAACAGGCATCAACAATTATATTAAAGCAGGGCCCTATTGAGCCACTTGCTGGATGCTGAACACTAAGTAACTTAAAACAGTGGCTCCCAACTGGAGGGCCAGGACCCCCAGGGGGTCCTAAGGTAAAGATGAGTTAAAGTATAAGAAAGAAAAAAGTTGTATTTGTGTTGCACAGTTATGTTTATTTTTTCTTATTATACTCTAATTTTCACCTCTTTTTTTCTTGTGACAGACTTTCATGTCTTTGGGCCTTAAAACAATCATATGAAACAACCTGAGAAGGAATATTTGAAGTCATACCCATAGGTTTTGGTAAGGGGTCACAAAGAGACTGATAAATGTTAGGGGTAATTCAGTGTTAATCATTTTGTTGAGCAACACAAGCTGGCAAGGATCACTTTAACATTTACAAAATTTAAGAGAACTCTAAAACCAGGTGCCTCACTGCAGAAATACAAGTAAACTGAGGTAAACATAGGTGAAGACAGCTTGCCCACACACAAGTATTACTGCATTTGAAAGTTAATGAAGGACCTTTGAGCCGCTGGCGCACAAGCTTTGCAAAGGTAACTGCTCGGGAAATGTTAGGTTAGATGAGATTCCTCTGCCACACTAATCCATCCTGGAGTCTGAGAGCGGCACAGAGACAGAGAGAGCAAAATCTGCTGCAGAACAGCACAGCAGTGACACAGGGCAATTCTCTAGGGCCTTGCATTAGCGTGCTAAATTAAAGGGGGTATTAGATTAAATTGGCTCTCCGATTTCAGGGGTGTGAGTAAAATTCTGATTTGCATTTTCCACTGCTGCTCAAGATATAATTAGTTCAGGGTGATTCCCATGTGAAAAACACTGACAGCCAAATCTAACTGGCTGCCATTAGCTTATCGTCTCTTCCAAGGCAAAAGGTACATATGGCTCATGCTTGGTGTGCGTGTGTGTGTATTTGTTTGTATGTAGTTAGAGTGTGGATACAAGTGTTTATCTTTGTGTGTGCGAGAGAGAAATAGTGAGAGACAGAGCGTGCATACGTGTAAATGTTTGCATGTGAATTTGCATGCACAGGCTGCAAACTCTCCTTGTAGACTCACTTCAGCACCTGATTCCTCACATTCATTCAAATCCCACTCAACTGTGAGCAACCACTGGCACCATTAACAAGGTGAAAGAAAATCCACTCCCAGTTAATGTTAGTATCAAAGTTTGTAAAAGCAAGGGCACAACTTCACACCCCCGAGAAGCCTTTAAAGTCAGACCCATTTCCGCAGCAGAAGGTGTACCTATAATTACAGATGCAGAGTCAAAAATAACAATTACTTGCTGGAGAAGTCCATTATATGAATCACTGAACTGCTTTTAAAAGCAACTGTGGATTTGTTTGGGCTGTTTTTGCACAATTAGTAATTCTAGCCATCTTATCAAATGGATGTTTTTCAAATTTATGTATACCTATGCATTCAAAATGTGACGCCAACTTCCTGGACACCTGTTGGGTATACCTGTTAGAATATGATATACAGTATGGGGTCAACATTAAATGAGCTTCCAACAGAAACCTCTGGAGTGCACACATCCAACCCATTACCAGTAACACATCTGTGACACCCTTCAGGTGAACCCTTAAACCCTGCTTTTTCCCATAGTTGCTCCCTTAGGAAGTGACAGAGTTTTCTGTATGTCACACCACTTGTATATTCTCTATCTGCTTGTCCCAACACTCAATTTAAGTTACAGTACCAGGCAGTGAATGAAAAATTCTAACCCAGGACACTGTGGTTTTATGGCTGCACCAAAACTAGATCCCGTATCTTCATTTCACACTGCGAAAGCTCCTTTTCCTCAAGTAGTTTTTGTCTGTAATCTGGATCCTCCTGTAAGTTTAATTTTCCTAAGTGAAATATGGTGAGTATTTCTAATTTTTCCATGTAAATAACAATGTTTCGTATAGTTTTTAAAATTCAAGAGCCGCTTTTATTGATTTTAGAGCGGCACCCCCTGCCTTAAACTTTTCTGTTTCACGTTTACACTGATGGCTGGAAGTAAAAAATGGAATCCGTACAGTACATGGTGTTTTTCCATAAGTAGATTAGATAATATTTTATAATTAGCTTCTTCTTTCTCTTTGTAATCACTTAGTTAATGAGCAAATCATCTGGCCCTCAGGTTGCATTTGTTGGTGACTCATCCATACAGGCTCATGTTAACTCAGTGAGCAAATTCAAACTCTAAGGGTAAAGAGAACCATGTTTGCAACTTAACATTCATAAACTGAAGTTGTTTTGATAATCAAATGTCAGCCGGTAAATAAATCAATTAAAATGAACTGTTAAAAACAACACTGCTCCTGATTGTGTCCTAATGAAGCCTCTTGCTAGTTGTCATTTAAGCCAGTGCTTAATGTTTTTCTCTTGAGGCAGATTTTTTCTGCCTCTGCACACCTCTTATGTGCACCATACCCTAGATTGATTCATAATTGGACATAATGACACAAATATAATATAGAATGATTTTATCTCAGCCCCACTGTATATGCACAATCAATTCATACAGGATCAGAGAGGATCAATCTGGGTGCCTCACTCTCCTCCCCACACAAACTTGGGGGTTGTTTAGAGAGACGCCATCAGCAGCCCTGCCATCACTCTCACCATCTCTTGGTGGTCGGAGGCTGAGACTTTGTGGGATATTGATTCTCTCCATCCAGAGACGGTTTCCATAATTGGTTAAAATGACCGGGTGCAGAGAGGGATGGCTCTCTGCTGAAAACCATTTCCCAGCCCTGCTTGGAGCTGAGCCAAGCTCAGGGTTGTTCGGATGCGTTCCAGCCCCAGCCTGACTGGCAGCAATTAGGGGTGTCTGAGCCAAGCTCAGCTTGCGCTCCGCACAAACACCCCTAATTACTGCCAATTAGGCTAGGCGGGTAGGCAGATTTGAGAAGCCAGGGGGATGTTCAGGCATGGGTGGGCATGGAAACAATTTTCAAGGGCTTAGAATGTGACTGGATGAAAAGGTTAATGCTTTGGAGTGCAAGGGGATAATAACAAAAGAAGGGGAAGCAGAGCCCCAGTTCTCACCTCCAGCGATGAGCCAGGCTTCTTCTTCAGCTCCTCGCATTTCCTAAATTTGCAGATCTGGTGGCCTGTTTTGCGGTTCCGACAACTGCTGCAGACACCACAGTTGATTAGCCGCCTGCAGGGTGCACAGACCCCACACCTTTTCCTTTTCTTCTTTGCTGGGTTTCCACTGGATGCCGAGGAATTATTCTGTGGGCAGTCTGCCAGATTGGCAATTTGAAACGCACTGTCTGTAACGGCTGCTGAGGCTGCGGGGGAGTGAAGGGCTGTCATGACGATGACCCCGGGAGGTAATGAGATGCCCCCTAAAGCCGGAATAGCGGAAAAAGTTCCAACACGTTCTGGGAGATTCATTATCTCTGCTTCAGCAGCACCGCATTTCAGCTTGTTCATGCATTCTCCTGCTAAAGGTCTGCAGTGTTCAGGGGATAAGGTAGAGAGGAAATTATTATTTGCCATTTGCAGCGTCTCTGGCGGCACGCCAGGCTTCCCTGGCCTCTGGGAGTCATTTCTATGCATGCCGGTCCTATTAGGGTTTATTGCCGCTGATTTCCTTCCCCAGAGCATGGCGTTATCGCAGTTCCAAGGGGACATGCCAATTCTGGCACTGGGAAAAATGGGCGTTGTGATGCGGGCAATCTTAGCAGTCTGTGGAAATGCCCCATTGGTTTTATAAAAGTTTGCAAAAGACCTGTACCTTTCCATTTCTGCATTATAATCCAAAAGCTGACTTAATCCACCATCCTGAAGATTATCCTTTTGTAAGAGAGACACATCTGCATTTTGTCCATTTTCAATGCAAAGTGCATTGTTTATGTTAGACATGGCTGAGAAACAGTTGTCGGTGTTAAGCAGAAGAGAGTGAGGTTACAGTGGCCTTTGTCGAGCTGAAGCTGGTTACGAACAGTGCGTTACCATCCTGGTTTATCTCTTCTGGTGCTAAAATCAAACAAACAAACAAAAGTTACACATTAAAGAGGAAAATGTCTTCATTCTGCTGAGATTTCATTTCATTGCTTCAACTTTTACCTGAAAAAGACAGCTGAACATTTTCTAAGTCTCTGGCACATTGTTTACGCCCTGGTGTGTTTTAATGGAACCCACACAAAGAGTTCGAACTGATCTTCATCTGGTGACAATAACGTTTGTGACAGATCATGTCATTAATATAACGGGGGAAAGAATTAGCATGTTGTAAAAATACTACACTTTGAACATTGTTTAGATGTCTTGCCAAGTAATTCTTACATATTCTGAGAAAAGTCCAATCAGCTACTTCACAGAATGAATAAATACATTTGAATACACAAATATGATTTATTCCAAAAGTTAGAGCAAAGCCTCACCAGAACTCAGATTATGACATCAGTAGCTACAAACCTAAAGAGTTTTACCTTAGGCCTGCAGTATACTGTAAGCTCTTAAAACGAATCTTCTTTAGATGCCAGGAGGAACACGGTCAAATATTTTCCATTTTTGTCATCTTATCCATATAGTAGAGGTGGTCCATCCATGTAAACATGATCTCTTAAGAGCATCTGGTGTTCATTCATAGCCGGTTCTACTACATTTACTCAATGACAGCACAGAAAACCACTAGTGAATTTACATCCAGATCATGAACCAGACCAACTACAGTGTCAGGATGGGATGTGTGTGTGTGTGTGTGTGTGTGTGTGTGTGTAAAGGGGGGGGGGGGCTGCTGCTGCTCCATTTCCTCTCTCACTCTCACCAGTCTGTCTGGATTTGGTTTCCACAGATAAAAGCCCATTAGATACATCTCTCCCTACTTCCATTACCTTTTTCTGGTCTTTCTCTCTTAATTGCCAAAGCTGATCCATTGCTAGAACACTAAAGCATTTCAAATCGCTTACAAGGTGCTATCCCACAGCTGTCTCAAAATTTTTTTTTAAATAATAAATTATAAATATGCATACATGCAACTGGAGTGATGTACTGGGTGACATTATCAATGTCCTCTGAATACAGGAGTGCATCCCCTTACAAACATAACCTAACCTAACCTTTACCCAATATAGCCACAGTGGCTAAAAGCCCCCCCCAAAAACTCTTGAAGTCTCAACACGCTTTCTAAGATGCACAAAAATATGCAACATTATTTATTTTAAATTATTATTATTAATAAGTGTGATAGCGCAAAGGTGAACAAGTGTCTGGAGTTTAAATGTCGATGTGGCATCCAAAACAACCCGCAGCTCCCAGTAAACAAAACCTCCTTGGCTTAATGATCAGCCCTCCTCAGGGTCATTATTACTTAATCAATTCACCCCTGGAGCGAAATACCCAGCCCAAAGGCAATCAAGTCACAGGACATTGATTTTCAGCCTGTGAACAAAGTTTAGAGAGACAGAAATGTTCAATAGTTGGAGCTGGACAGAGATAAACTGAGAGAGGAGGTCGAGGAGAAAGAGAGGGAGAAAGGTGGAGAGTGAGAGAATGAGACTGAAGAAGGAAAAGTAAGAAAAGCGTGTCCGATGACGAACCGTTGTGCCGCTGCTGCAGCATGATGCCATTAATTACACTTACTGGTCTGTGGTAGATATTCAGATCAAAGGTCATGCATAGATAATCTGACAACTGGAGTGCGGTGCCTGAATGCAAATAAAACCACATCAAAACTACTCTGACTTTGCCTGGATCGCTCGGCAGTCAGACGGACGCAAATTTGGACAGAAAGGGGGGCAGAACGCATGCAACTGGACAGCAAAATATGGACGGACATAAACAGAGGGGGAGCGAGGGAGAGAGAGAGAGCATCACTTACCAGGTTCCTGTTGAGAAGGGCTCTCAAGATGCTACCAGCCTGTGACCGTGGAACGGTACATCACTGCGAAGCGAAACGTGGAGGGAAAATAATGCAAAGATGCGAGAAGACGCACAGACCCAGGGCGCTGGAGCGAGTGTGTGTGTGTGTGTGTGTTCAGGGCGCTCAAAACAAAAGGACCATTTTTATCGACTTTCTTATCACATTAGAAAAAAAGGTTGGAAAGTGCACAAATGAGCCAAAAGGTGTCGTAGAAAAGAAGAAGGTAAATCGCAGAGGGGGTTAGGTGTTTCCTCTCCTCTTGATCCGGGGACTGTATTGTGTGCCTGCCTGGTCTCTGCTCAGTCCGTGTCTCCTGTCGCTGTGTGTGGCTGATTGGTGCTGAGGTGAGGAAGCACGGATGTGGACACCTACTGATCATTGGCTGGAAATTACTATAGAAACACTCGGGAGGTGGGAGGGAGGGATGGCTCAGGGCGCCCTACAGGGAGAAAAATATCTACGGGAGATATCTGCGTCTTTTCACAGTGCCATCTTTTTCCCCCCCACAACATATATTTTTAACAAATGTGTTTCATGACGAGGCATTTAGAGAGGGGGTTGTCATTTGGCAGAGGTGTCCTTTAATAAAGATTGGGGGAAACTTGTCAAATTAATTTGAATGGAGCTCAGATGTGATTAAGATGAAATGCCTGAGCCTGGTTGTTTCCCCCTTTCTCTCTCTCTCTGTCTCTTCGTCCAGCGACAGCCATAATTACGGAGACCGCCGGGATTCATCACCATTATAAATCCCCCCTGCTGGCCGCCCATGCCTACAGCTCCCAGGCTGACAACACTGGAAAGCGTGGAACATTTATCCCACCAGCCCCCGCGCGCCACACTCATTCATATCGATGCTTATAAACTTTTAAAATGAAACGTGTCTCCAGTTGGCTTCCTGGATGATCTTTAAGATTCAGGATGGAGTTTAGAAAGAAAGTTAACATGAGGTCATCATCTCTGTAACGCCAACTATTTATTAATCTCCCTAGACTTATTTCAAAGAGAAGTTAGAGAAATATCTTTATACTTTTACCACACAAAACTATATTTATTTGCATTTTCCTTTTCTGGTATCACTTCCCATTAAGGCACCCTTCATAAAGGGTTGTAATGACGTTAAAACAGGCGAATAAATCATTTAGCTCAGTTATAAATGATAAAATATTCTGGGTTGTCAGGTTGTGAGAAATCCCACTGGCTGATCTTTCCAATTCTATTTTGTTCTATCTGTTAGGGAATATTAGTTTCTCATTTTCTGATAAGAAAAACGAAAACTCTGCATTTATAAGTCATTAATAAAGGATTTTAATCCATTAAGACTACAGTTTTAAGTGCTAATATTAAATGGATTTTTGGTAAAGACCCTCAGCAGCCTTTCTCTAAAACTATCATAAGATAGCCTAACCAGACAAAAGAAATGTTCACAACCTGGCAATGCACAGCAGTTCTTATTACCTGCTAATCTCTTATGCTTTGGTAAATCATTTATTAACTATTAATAAAAGCATTTGTTTAATTATAAACCCATAGAGTGCATCTTATTAGAATGTGGTGCGGTCTTGCATCACTGAGGTTGCAACTAACAATTATTTTTATTGTCAGATTATTACAGGAAACACAAAGTTCCCAAAGTCAAAGCTGATGTGATCAAGCTACTTGTTTTGTTTGATCAGTAGTCCAACCCAAAGACATTCACTGTCAGACATATACTATCGTAGAAGAAGAAACCCATCAAATACTCCGATTTGAGGTTGGAACAAAAGCTCCAACTAGTAGAATTTTGGTTCTTCTGCTTAAAAACAGACAACCCCAAGTCAGAAAAAGTTGGGACGGTATGTAAATCAAAATGATAACTGAAAACTGTGATTTGTAAATCTTCTGTGTCCTGTATCACATTGAAAACAATACAGCAGCACATTATTTGATGTGACACCTCATCAACTTTATTCTTTGTTCAAAATAAACACTTACTTCAGTTCTGATCCCTGCAACACATTCCAAAAAAAGTTGGGACGGTTCCATTTCAGGGCCACCAATGAAGTAAAGCAATGAAATGATGATTCTATTTGAAACTGGTGATGTCAACAGGTCACGCTCTGGTATACAAGTGGCATCCAGGAAGGGCTGAGCCCTTTAGGAGCACGGATGGATTGAGAACCGCATTTTTGCCAACATATTGTATGTGTGAGAAAATTATTGAAATGTTTAAAAACAATGTTCCTCAAAGAAAGATAGGAAGGGATTTGGATATGTCACCCTCTATGGTGCATAGCATAATCAAAAGTTTGAAGGAATCTGGAGGGATTTCAGTGTGTAAAGGATAAGGGCACAAGCCTAAGATGGATGACTGTGCTCTCCGACCCCTCAGACAGCACTGCATCAAGAATCATCACTCTTCTATTAGTGGTGTAATCACTTGGCCTCAGGATTACTTTGGCACACCTGTGTCAGGCACAACAATACACAGTTACATCCATAAATGACTTTTAAAAGTGTACTGTACCAGAGATGCAGTCGACCGTTCTGGGCTTGGAGACATCTGGGATGGACATCACACAGTGGAAACATGTACTGTGGTCAGACCAATCGGTATTTCAGGACCTTTTTGGAAGGAATGGGCGCCATGTGCTCTGGAACAAAGACAAAAAGGACCATCCAGGCTGTTACCTGCAACAAGTCCAAAATCCAGGGTCTGTCATGGTCTGGAGTTGTGTCAGCGCCCTTGGCAAAGCTAACTCACATTTCTGTGATGGCTCCATTAATGCTGAAAAATATATAGAGAGATCTTGGAGCAACATATGCTGCCTTCAAGATGACATCTTTTCCAGGGACGCCCATGCATATTTCAACAAGACAATGCAAAACCTCATCCTGCACATTACCAAGGCCTGGCGTGCTGGACTGGCCTGGCTGCAGTCCCAGCCTGTCCGCTATAGAGAATGTGCGGCTCACTGTGAAATGCAAATTGTGTCAACGCAGACCCAGGACTGCTGCTCACCTTAAGTCTTGTTTGCAGGAGAAACGGGACAAAATTACTCCTGACAGATTTAATCACTTGGTGTCCTCAGTCCCTAAACGTTTTTTAAGCGTGAAAAGGAACGGCAGCATCACACTGAGGCAAATGCTTTTTTACTGTCCCAACTTTTTAGGAATGTGTAGGAGGCATCAGAATTGAAGTGAGTGTTTATTTTGAACAACGAATAAAATTGATGATAGTTGACTAATGAATTAATTGATTAATCTGTTCAGTTCTGTGACACAGTATTTAAAAAACCCCATGTGACAGAGGAATAAACAATCCCTGCATTGCTTCAGACAGGCTTAGGTGTGAGTAAACAAACTGTCAGCTACAATGACACATTCTTCATAGTGCACAGCTCTTCCAGGTGAGCTACAGTATGTGACACAGTTCTATAGGCTGCTAAAGTCTGCATTTTGATGAATTTCTTGAGAGGCTTCTGTGTTAAATGTTTTACAGTTATGTGTGAGTGAATCAGGGGCAGATCTGGAAGATGTTGCACAGGGCGGCCAGGTTGGGGCACAGACTCAGAGAGGGGTGGCGCATTTGAAATACATGTTAAAAGTAAATTAAAGCCCTAGCTCTATGAAATAACAAACCATACATTAATAAAAATGAACGAATAACCTTGCTCACAGGATCCTAAACTTACAGTAGGTACAAGAAACAACCTGGGTGATGTTTTTGATGCTTTAATTGATGTCACCTCTACAAGAAACCTCACTGTCCTCTTCTTCTTCTTTCAGCAGCTGTCAAATCATCACTCTTTACCAACAGCTTGGACTTGGGGGGTGCAACAGATAGATAGTCGTTACTGAAGCCCCAAAACAGCAATGAAACATGGACGTGTTATCAGAAACTGGCAGGCACGTCAGCAGGAGTGGATGTTTAAGTAGATAAGGATGGGCTGGTTTGGGTTTGGAGTAAAATTTTGCATCAACAGTGTGTCGACACACCCCACAGTCACCTATAAGCTGTGGTTACGTCCATGTCAGGTGCAAAGCCTTCATCTCTTCCTTCATCTTTTGCTCATCGTTAAAAGTTACACTTTGACCACTACATGTGCTGTGTAACAGTTTTTAATCTGGTTGCTTTGATGAAGTTAAAGTGATGATGAGGCACTGGTCAACAAACCCAGATCTTTTCCTCTTTATGTTTGTGGCCTGTAAAGACTTTGGTTTTGTTCTTAAACTGTCACAACGGTCGGCAACAGACATGAAAGGAGAGAAAGTGCAGAGAAAGCTTCTTGTTCCATTTCTTTGCAGATGGGTTATTATGGATCCATTTACACTGGATGTTTACAGCAATATTAGTTTTAAACTTTCTGCGTATGCTGTAGAATGACGTTTAACTGTACTGGTTTACATTCAAACAAACCTCTATTGTGCACTCCTTTTGAAACGACAAAAAGCACATTTGACAAATAGGTTTTGTAAAGAGGAGTTTTTGAATAAATTTGTCTTGACCTTTCCCAAAACAATGGTAAATCTAAACTTTTGTTCTTAGACATGAAAACCAATTGAAGGCTACATTTACCATCGCTGAAGCGTTACAGTCGTCCACACCTTGTACATCTGTACATGTGGAAGCTCCTCTGTCTGAAAATCATTTTATCTTTCCAGTGATAATAGCCCCCAGGGGAAATCTGCCTAGGTGGTCCTAACCTCCGTCTGCAGAGCCACGGCAGTATGCGGGTCTAGCGGTGGGAGGCACGAACCCTCCTGGCAGGCCTTTGTTCCTGTCTGCGTGCTCCGGCATTGCTCCCTGTGTGTCTGCTCCTCCCGTTTCCCTGAGCTTTCAACTGAACTTGGAGGGCTAATTAATAACCATGAGCCCAGATTTAAATGTTGCCTGCATTTAGTCGATGGCAATAGAATCATGAAAGAGTGAAGTCATAAGACATGGGTGTTTGGCGGGAGATGGTGTGAATCCATTGATTCATCTGTCTCAATCGGATCTGAGCGCTGTGCTCACATTTGTTAGGGGAAAGGCACAAAACTTGGATGCATTCCGTTTGATTTTCTCTGGAAACTTTGTACACCTTGTACAAGATGGAAGTTGTGGACATTTCCTTACATCTGCACCTCAGGCATGCTGTGTACTTCCCTCTTGTTTGGATGTCCCAAGCACTCGAGGAATGCATAAATTTGGTTCTCAGTGAAATTATGAGAATAAAGATCTAACCAGGAAAAGGGAGGAGTGTCCCAGAGGTCTTTCTGATGGTCTCACACAGACTGATATGGAAAACTGCTTTCCTCTGAGGCCTTTAAAGTGTGAACAGGAAGACACAGGCAGAAGGGAGCGAGGAGAGGGAGAGGGAGATCACTTGGAAAAATAAACTGTATGAGGTTATGGATTTGGCAGTGACGCACCACAGTGCAACAGCAACCTCTGCAATATTTATTTAGAAACCTGCCTCATTTCCTCCTGCAGACTCTAATGTAAGGTGTCCTCACCTCACACACATTAGGCCTTTGGTGTGGTTTTCTGTGTATCAC